ACTGATAAGTGAGATCTGGGCGCGAATGCCGAGGAAACCGGAGTCTGGGAGCTCAGCTGGGGAGTCATGGTTCGCCGCCGACGATGACGGGCACCGGCGGCAACAGGTCGGGACGGTGGGGAGGGTAGGTGTGGATAAGGGGATGGGTCTAAAGAGAGAAAGAAGAGAGATGTGAGAGCATTTTTTTCATGCGTTGTGTAATACAATGTTGAATAAAAGTTTATATTTGAGCTTGTTTGCTTAATTATTAAGTTAGAAACAATTTAACAAACAAGTTTACTAAAATTATTTAATTAATTCTGATATGTTCAAAATCATTTGTAAAAATAAGTTTACTAAGGTTAAAATAATTTTGAAAATAATATTATATATATATATATATATTAGTATTTTACATTTTTTATGGAAAATATATATATTAGTACTTTACAGTTTTTACGGAAAATAATATATACACAAGTATAAAAAAATATTAAATTAATATTTAAGAATAAACTTGTATTCATTCATATAACAGATGACAAACTTTTGTTTGGGAACTAAGAGCCAAAATTTGATATGCGCATGAATATCATCACAAGTACAGAATCTCGTGTTCTAAAATCATGTGTTATTTCATGTTTCATTCCAAACTAATGTTTTAATTCATTTTTAATTACATTAAAAAACACGTCCTAGTTATACCGCAATTATACATGTTCAGTTAACAAAATGTAATAATAATTTGAACATAATTTTAAAATAGGAACTCATTTTCCCTCTTTTTACTTATCCAATGGACCCTGTTAAATTCAAGAGATGCATAAACTAATCAAATGAAAAGTACAAACCTGGTAAAAGTATATATATGGCTTTGTTCGACCTTTGAATGCTCCTATAAATCTAGAAAATCGATATATTAAGAACCAAGTTTTTCGTACAAAATTCCATTTAATTTCATAGTTTGAATAAGCAATTAAAATTTAACAGAACTATCGCATTAATCTCTTAATCGAATAAAGAACCACGTCTATATCCAAGTTTGCTTTTATCATCTCTTCAAGATCGGCCCTGAAGTGAAGACTTTCCTCAAATCATTTACACAAAGAAAACTATTGATGGCACAAAGAGAAGGTCTTACCAAATTGGCACATTTTTATTACAGAGTGTATATTATCCTAGTTTCTGCAAATCACCTCTGAAAATTCTGAAAGCAAATTCTACAGAGTACAGCTACACGAGAAATTCAAATGCCACCTATAAAAACCAAGAATGTTTTATAATACGGCCCCTATTAGGGCAAACCGTTCAAGATCACATGGACCAATCTCAGATGCACTCACTAGTTAAGTTAAGAAGTTATACCAAACCACAGCAAATTGTGGACCACCAAGAAAAACCTAATCCTCATCTTTACCTGATTCATTTGCAGACTCATCATCTTCTTCATCCGACATGCTTTTTATCACTTCCGTGATTATGTCTTTAACTTCTGTTTTTCTATGGATGAGATCTACCCCAAAGTGCTTACCTGATTTGTCATTCAACATCGACAGTTGATAAGAGAATTACACTCATACAGTTAAAACAAACTTCTTACAGTAGTAGAAATTAAAAGATAGCGTTTTCGTACCGAGCTGTTTGAGAATGTCGGATAATGTTGCCTGCATTTCAAGGGTCCAAAGAAAAATTTGTAAATAGAAGAATTCAAGACAAAAAAAACCAATAAATTACATAGGGGTACACTTACTGTGTTAAAATCCACTTCCTTCAGTATATCTACTACTGCAGCATGCATTTCTTCTCGGCTGGGCTCTTTTACTTCTTTATCACTACTTTCACTATCATCTATTAAATTCAAGAAACATGTGAGATGACGATCAACACCAAGCAAAATTAGTTTCCACCCCATATCATAGAGAAGTTAAACTTATAAAACAAAGGGTTTATAACATCACTTACCAGCACACTGGAATAGCAAGAACATAATAGCAATTAAAGGAAATGATTTAACCAAGTTTATTTGTTTTCCTTTAATCAAAATGGTCGATTTGTTTGACTACCATTTTTCTATTCAAAGCAAACTCAGAATATCATTTACTTAAAAATGAGGTTAGACGGAGCTTAATACCTTGATCATTTTCAGAAACCTTCGTCGAGGTCTTGGACTTTTTCTTGCTTGAAGATGTACCTTTAGTTTCCTCACTTTCCTTGTCCACTTTTTGCTTCTTATTGGATGAAGCCTTCACTTTACTCTTTTTATCAGATACAGCACCGGTAGATTTATTATTAGATTTGCCTGATGCTTTTGAAGATTCTGGTGGGCTTCCTTTAGTAGTTGACTTGGACTTGACAGCACCCTTACTGGTATCTTTCTTGGCACTTTTCTTAGAGGAAACCTTCTCAACCGACTTCTGCTTCTTGGGTTCCTCCTCATCTTCATCTTTCTGGTCTTCTACAACGTTCTCTTCATGATCACTTTCTGCTTTGGGAACTGATTTTTCATCGTCCTTATCATCTTCACTAAGTGAATGTTCACTTTTATCATCATCTTCTTCCTCAGTGGGACCACTTCGCTTCTTACCAGAATCAGAATCCGATTTTTGTTTCTATGGCAAGATATCAACACAATAAGCAACTTCAAGCTAATACTGAAGGACAAAATGGAGGATACAAACAAATGGTATTTCATATTTCTCACATCAAAAAGTCAGACACGTTTACTAGCAAAGCAACACAACTTGTTCTTGCTTTGGATGGAAGAAGCAAAAACCTATCTCTGTTTCACAACCTATAAGATCTAACCCAGTCAGTACCCGCCACATGGTGGGCACGACAAAATTAAATCAGAAGATTATACATCACAAAAGCAAAAGGCAGCATGATAGATGCGGAAGCCTTATGCATATATTTCTCAATCTCCCTACACATGACCCTTTAGCATATTGAGTAAAGCAATGCAGAAAACATAAATCAAGAGAATGAGAATCAAAATGAAAAAGTAGAACGCCTGTGGAGACAGTAACAGTGAGAGAGGGAGAGGGATTAAGCATAGCCATTTTAATAACAAAAAACTGCTGATTACATTCCACTCAGATCCATTGATTTAGTCATGATGAATATATATATATATATATATATAGAGAGAGAGAGAGAGAGAAACCTAACCTTCGTGGATTTCCCTCCAGCCACATGAGGAGAACTTGGGCTTTTGCTGGTTGGGCCAGTACTCTTCCGTTTCTTTCCCTTTACATATCAGGTGCAAATGTTCATCAGTTATGGCTAAAGACACATTTAAGATTAATAATTAACAAGCAGTAACAAACAAATATATATTTACCTTCTCCTTGTCAGCAAGCAACGTGTCAGTTGTAGCATGAGGAGACTCCAAGAACTCCAATAATTTTACAACAAGCTCTTCCTGAATAATATTATTAGCGAACAAATTTAATTATAGATCCTTTATAAGTTCCAAGTAGAATAATGTTAAGGAATTACCTTCTTTATAGAAGCTTTATTAACTGAAATGTTAAGAACGTCGCAGAAGTCCAATAACTTCTCTTTTACGCATTTGTCAATTTTCTCCTTGGTTTTAGCTTTCTGCTTTTCCTGCTAAGATATACGGGGGACAAAAAAGTGGAATTGAACCATATAGATAAATTTTATGCAAACTATTATACATGGACCAGGGCCAATAAATAAACTGGGCAGACAACAGTGAGAAAATGGAAAATGGTGGCATGTTTCTCAGCGATATAACAAGTTTGTGAGAGACTAAAAGATGTTAAAAAGACAGCAGTTATCACATCATTCAGTAAATAGTTCTTGGCAAAGCAATGTCAAGTCAGAAGTGGTAGTTGAGAACACTTAGATGGGACCCAGACTTGCCCAATTGAAGCCCAGTTTTCCAGCACCAACCACAAGAAATTATCAGCAATTTGTAAACAAATACAACCATTATAATATTAAACTGGAAAAGACAATCAATGTTGAAAAGAAGAAGGAAAAAAAATCTCTTCCTAACACTAAATTAGAGAATGCAAGTCTCACAGGTCGCATTAAGATGCAAGTGCTATCATGTTTCCTGACAATTCCTAAACAACTCTGACCCATCTATATGCTCCTCTCAAGCCAATCCCAAGTTGCAGAATTCACCACGGAGGCCACCAAGACAACTGTAAGATTTGCTTTCATCTTTTTGTTTTCAGTTAATTGTTTCAAGATTTTTGGCCAC